TTCGTTGTATCCAGTGACTGTTCCCTTGCCTTAAAGGCAGTAGCTCGGGAAAATTGCGACTGCGGGCCACGATCACATGGTCTTCTGGATCAGCTGAGTCCAGCACTTGCTGCTTGTGCTTGAAAAGTCAAAAAAAATTGCTTTTTTGGTGTTTCCGGGTCTTCGAGATTGCTGAGGAGGCGAGGCGGGGCGAGGGATTTAACCTAAAAGGAGAACCTGCAGGAGACTGTAACTCCACCTATCCCGGCAAACTATATCGAGATGGCTGTCTAGATTGATCAGCCAATTGCCTTCAAAATATGTGGAGTTAGAGTCTCCTGCAGCTACTTTTCTTTTGGGGTGAATCCCTCTCTCCACTTCCTCAGCAATCTCCAAGGCCCGGAAACATCAAAAAAGCACTTTTTTGAATTCTCATGCCCAGTGCCAGACTCAGCTGGTCCAGAGGCCATGTAGACGTGGAAGGCCCGAAGTCGCAATTTTCCCGAGCCACTGCCTTTGACTCGAATGCACTATATCTTATTTACAGGTTCTCAAAGCCGAATCTCAAGTTGTAGCTGGAGTAAAATACGTTTTTGAAGTACTTTTTGGTGAATCGAAATGCAAGAAAGGGGTGAGTATTGATCATTTATCAGTTATGTAAACCATACGGTGATGATCAGATCTATCCGAGCTCTTATAATAGAGGTGTAGTTGTGTGAATTTTGTCGAGATTTTTTTTTCAGCACGTTGCTGCCCACGAACTTTCCGCAGCTAATTGTGAGCTGAAGGAAGATGGAAGGAAAATGGTAAGACTTTGGTGAAACTCCGCATTTTGACCTGACTAACTGTCTCGTTATTTAAGCTATATAAAGTGGAGCTCTGGGAGAAACCGTGGGAGAACTTCGAGCAATTCAACGTTGAAAAGATTCGGGATGTTGAACCTCATGAAAATCTGTAAAGCGTCTAATATACTTATACATTCACGCATTGTATGTTATATACGCATTTTGTACATTTCTGTAAG